ATCACATCATCCTAAAAGTCTTAAATCAACTCAAAGTTCAAAATCTCATCTTTTGACTCATCTAAATCAAATATGGATGCAACTTTTGGCATATTCCATCCTGGGGCAAAATTCATCTTAACCTGTGAACCTGTGAAATCTAGAATACATGTTACCTACTTCTAAAATAGAATGGTGGAACAAGCACGAAGTAGACATTCCCATTGTAAATAGGAAAAATTGGAGAGAAAGAAGGAATAATGATCACTGAGCAAGTCCAAAACCCAGCAGAACAATTTACAACAGTTATCAAGGCTTGAAAGTTATCTTCTGTTCTTCGGGATCATCTGGGCAATGGTCCCACCCTCCAGAAGCTGCATATTGACCATGTTCTCTGGATTCTGAATAGAGAATCTTCCACTCTGGCTTCAGCTCCACCTTCCAGTCCCATTGAGATGGCAACCACGCTCCCTAGGATTTGGGCAGTCTTATTCTCCTAGTCCATCTGAATGGTAATCCCCCTCCTTTGGATCCAGCAGGCCCTGTTCTTTTGACTCTTAGGCATGGCAGCCCTACACCTCAGTTTTAGCTTGTTTCCAAAGCTGTGACAATGGAAACCAACTGCCTTATCTTTCACCTACAGAGCAGCTAATGGGTTTGAACTGCCAACCTTTCAGTTAGCAGCCCAGTTCTTTAACCACTGCACCACCAGAGCTTCTTAATGTAAAAGAGATTAAATAAGCATTTGAACTAGCAGAGATGGAGGAAGAGAGATGCCAAGCCACATGATGATCCCCAGGAGCAGAAGGTCGAAGAGACAAAGACCTTCCTCCACAGCCTACAGAGATAGAAAGCCTTCCCCTAGAGCTGGAATCCTGAATTTAGATTTCTAGCCTCCTAAACTGTGAGAAAATATATTTCTGCTTGTTAAAGTCACTCATTTGTGGTATTTCTGTTATAGCAGCACTAGATAATTAAAACCATACTTAGACAGACATCATGCTTTGTAAAGTAGACGGTCAGCAAAAAAGAGGAAGACCCTCAATGAGATGGACTGACACAGTGGCTACAACAATGGGGCTGAAACGTGTCTACTATTGTGCTATGACATAGGACCAGGCAGCATTTTATTGTGTTATACATGGGGTCACTATGTTTTGGAACTGACTTGACTAACCACAGGACAAACATTCCTTAGCTACAAGCTTGGATCTGTATACAGATTAACAGCCTATCAGCAAGAAGCCAAAGTTAAGAAGGGTAACAGATTTGACTCTGGATCAGTCATTTTACTTTGGTCAGGTGTCCCATAACTTGGACTCCACAGCACCTCTCATGCTCCCATTTCTACTTACTCTACCAATTTTACGATCCCATCTACACTGCTAATTCATATATTATCCAATATCATTCCTTAAGTATTTTTGTTATTAACTCCCTTTTCCATCATGGCAGTATCACTTATAATATTACCTTATAATTTGCTTTGTCTTTATCCTCTTTTATTTTTTTCCTTTCTCTCTCTCACATGAAGGGCAGTCTCCCCCTTGCTTTTTAAGTCAATCTGCGCATCTTTTTTGTTTGTTCCATATAGGTTGGTTCATTAAATTTTTTTATTGTGATTGGGTGAAAGTTTACAAAGCAAATTCATTTTCCATACAACAGTTTATACACATTTTGTTCCATGACATTGACTGCAATGCCCCGCAATGTATCAGCTTTCTTCCTACTTCCTCCCCATAGTGACCTCTTCCCTGTGTCCTTCCTTCCCATCAGTGCTATCTAATTTTCACTACCCCTACTCCACTGAAATGCTTTTACTAGAGTGACCAATGAAATTTAATTATCAAATCCAATATAAAAACTCTTTCCATTTGTATCTCATCTGGCATCTCTGATGCATGAGGTTTTAACAATTCTTTCTTTTTTGAAATTCATCTATTGCTTTTCATGACACGACACCTTCCTCATTCTTCCACTTCTCTGAACGCTCTTCCTATTCTTGTCTGTTAGTTTCCAGGGTTCTGTTCTTGGCCTTCTCTTCTCATTCCTATACATATGTCTTGATTCATAAGGATACATTGGAAACTGGCATCTTTCTTCCAAGCTTCAGACCACATATCCAATAATTTACCAAATATCTGAATCTAGATGCCACATACATACTTCAAATTAAACGTGTCTAAAATGAAACTCGGCATAAGTGTGATGATTTCCTGTTACACAAAGATGAACAACTCACATTTCTTTCCCAGAAATGGCTGTTCCTCCTCCTGTATTCTCTATTTTGGTGAATATTATCACCCTTCTACTTCCTGTCAATCCTCTCTCCTAAACACCTACTCCATTCACCCCTCATATTAGTCTCCCTTGCAACAACTTTGCACTTGCTTCCTAATTAGCCTCCAGCCCATCTCCCACTCCATTGACACCAGGGTGATTTTTCTAAATGCATATCTGCTCATGTTATTACTGTATTTCAACTCATGAATGCCTCCCCACTTCCTACAAGAGAATGTCTAAATTCCTAAGCACAGTATATAACCTACATGCCCCAGGTTCTGCTCTTCTTTCCAGGCTTTCTTCTCACCATCCACACACATGCTTTCTGCTTTCTAGTGACAGCAAATCATAAAGTTCCTTCAAAGTGCTAGGCTCACTCAAGTGAGCGTTTCCTTCTTTTAGAGTTCCCTGACCCTGTCTCTTCTAGCTCCCTGCAATGACAATTTAGCTAACTTCTTTCCCTTACCTTTCAGAATCAGTTCATCTGTCCTCTCCTTTGTGAAAGCTTCTTTGACATTCGTAGGCATAGGTACCTGCTCCTTCTTCTCTACTCTCTTAGCAATCATATCTTTGGAATTCTGGAATGACCTCTCTGGAATTCTGGTCTCACATCTCTAACTGGATGCAACATGGAGTAATAGACTTTAGCCTGACAACTCTGTGTTTTAAGTCCTAACTCTGCCACCTGTTGGCAGTCTGTTTCCTTACTTACAAACTTGTAATAATATTAACCTTGCAGTATTTTGGGAAGATGACTGATGAGGTCTGTGCAGTACCGGGTAGAAGGTGCCTAATAAACCATATCTTGATTTCTTTTCTTCACAGGCAAACTGTTTAAAAAGTAATCCACATGTGTTCACACTCACTCCCCAATCCACTGCAGTTCAGCCTTCACCAGATCACTCTCCTGTAAACAGCTCTCTCTCAAACAATACCAGGCACCTTATCATTGCCCAATCTAGCATCTTCTTATTCATCATGCTACTTGATTTTCTCCACCATTAAATATCACAGACCTTTCCTCCTTCTTGAACATCATTTCTCTTTTTGGCTTCTCCTCCTAGCTCTCCAAATGCTCCTACCAAGACTACTGTCTCTTCTGCCTACTTTTTAAGAGTAACTGTTCTGACTTGCAAAGAGGTTGGTAGTGGAGTATAGAAGCTTGGCAGGGAAAGGTGGAGAGGGCAAGATAGGTCAGTGGGTATAAGCCACACAAATTACCAAGAAGGAGGTCCGGAAGTGTGCTCAGGCCTGGCTATGTTGTGTACAAATGCAAGTTCCAAATGAAGGATTTTAGACAGCCCATCCCTGCAGAAAATGGAGATAAAACAGAGAAAGCAGAAGTGAAAGAAGGCTTTGATGAGGAACAAGGAGCATGTTAGGTAGGAGAGACATCAATGGAGAAAGAACCTCTGAAATCTGGTGGCCAAAGCTCCAGGGCATTTGGAGTTAGTAACTGGTCCTCAGCCATGGTTGAGCCATACGGGGACCTTTTTCGCTGGGCTCACTTTCTTTAGTACTGCCAAGAATTTGGAAATTAGAACTTTTTTTCTCATATGACTGCCACGTGCTCAAGATACTTTAGGAATGGCAGAGAAAAATGAACCTGGGATACAGCATGGGGTGGTTCTGGAGCCAGACTAATTGAGTTTACATTCTGACTTTGCTCCTTACACTCTCTGTCACCTTGGGAAAGTTATTTAACTTCTTTGTCAGTTTCCACATCTATAAAATAGACACCCTTAGGAGGAGTCAATGAGTTAATATTTGTAAAGTTGCTAGATAGAGTCTAGTTCATTATTGTTGTTAGCTTTCATCAAGTTAATTCCAACTCATGGCAACCCCATATATACAGAGTACAACGGCTGCATGGGGTTGTCAAGGCTGTGACCTTTCAGAAGTACGTCACCAGGCTTGTCTTCCAAGATGCCTCTGTGTCTGAACCACCAACATTTCTTCTAGTTGGCACTTAGCCATTTGTGCTACCCAGGGACTCCCTCCAGCACGTAGAAAACATTATATAAATATTTGTTAAAACAATCTTGAGGATGGACACTGGGAGGAGGTAACTATGGGGAGGAAGTGGGAGGGGAGCTGCTGCATTGTAAATTTTGGTCAATGACATGAGACAAAGTATATGTGAACTGCTGTATGAAAAGTGAATTTACTCTGTAAATCTTCACCCAAATCCTAAAAAAAAAAAAAAAAAAAAAACAATCTTGAATAGCCCCACTTTCTGGATACCTACTCTTAGGCTTGCCCACCAAGGGATTCCTGAGTACAGTGGTGTTTTTCTTCCTATCAATGCACATCTGACTGACTATTCAAGGCTATAGGTTCTGTAGTTTTTAGGGGAAAATGCTCAAAGCTGATTCTCAGAAGAATAGACTCCTTTAGGTATTTGGGAACTGAGCAACCCACTGTCCCTTTGAAACAGAGGACAGACTAAGGCTCAGGAATCTCTCCCTTATATGACCAGCATCCACTTCTGCAGTGGAAGGATACCAAAGATACCACTAATCCAGGCTAGATGAAGGTTATTCAGACCTTCTGTCCATTGGCAAGGTTTGGTCTGACCTTTTGGCATTGCCAGAACACCACCTAACTCTCCCCTGGATGAATAGCTTTTCTTTTTGATTAAGGGCAAATTCTGCCTTAGGTCACGTAGTCTAAGGCCTGGGAATAGATACAAATGGTATGGAGTAATTTTTGTATCTCGTCTTTTGGTTTCTCATCAGGAGGTACCAACAACCTTTCATCAAAGCAAGACAATTCTGCAAAACACACACCAGCTTATTCAAGAAAATCCTGTTGGGCCTATTGTGTTTAGGTGAGATATTGAGAATGAAGGGAAGTGAGAAACACAATCATTTTAGAATATTGCCTCTTGTCAAGATAATTACCATGTGGAAAACAATTTTCTTCACAAACTGACCCAAAGGGCTATTTGCTGTGTGCATCTTAATTACTCGAAAGTGAAACTTTCAAGTAATTCACTAACAATTTCAGAAATAAGTAATATCTGAGAATAAACTATTTTTCAAAACTGTACAATTTGATAGACTTAATTATTTCAGAGAATATAAGCTTATCTCTTTTTTTACTGTCTTCATACAGAGCATGGTTCTTGTATGCTTTACAAGGGAAGCTCCTGTTATACATTACTTACTTGCTAGTTTTCTAGTAAGATCAACAATATAAAATATTTTTAAAAGATAGCAAAAATCCATTTAAAGCATACTATTAATGATTTATGGAACCTCACTGTCAACAGCGGAGGCAGCTTGGATAGTGAGAATAAAAGTGATATTTTTGTGGGGAGTCAAGGAGCCATGGGAGAGGACCTTGTCGTTGTGCTTCCTTAGTGGTAGCCTTGTTTACCACTATTATTTTTTCTAATCACACAGATTATCTCAACAGGAAAGGTTAAATGATTAGTTACAAAGTTTTAGAGAAAAGTGAATGATTTTTGCACTATTTTTCTAAGAGTGAATGCTGATCAAATCTACTCCAAGGGCCAGAAAGAAGATATCAGCTAAAATAGAAGGGGGTGAGATTTCATTTGGGACAAGTGAAAATAAGTGGGACTCTCCTTAGGAATCCTCAAGAGAACAATTAGACATTTTTCCTGGCCTTGAAAACTGCAGCTCAGTCTGATATTTAGGGCTGGCTGGCCAGCTCTCTGGATGGTTCTTCTTGGCTTAAGTCCCTAATATTCATGACTGGAGCTTCCTTCACCCCTTGGAAGCTCCTCCTTGCTTATCCTTACACTGCATCATCTCTTTTTAGCATATGCTGCCTATTTCCTGGCAGCTTGTATCTTGAATTTCCAGAGGGCACTGGCCTTATTCGTCCTCACGTGTTTGGTGGTCTTTATCCTGGTTCAACGCTTACTGAAGAAGCACTTGGGTGAAAAGTTAATACAATGTCTGAAGCCCTTTGAAAACTCCCGCCTGAAGCTTTGGGCAAGATGGTGAGTAAGATAAGATAAGTTTCTGAGCTCTCTCTCAGGCCCTCATCCATGCTTTTAAGCCCTCACTTCTACTTTCTAGAACCAAAAGCACCATCACACCAGCAGTTGTTGTAGAGTCAACTTCAACTCATGGTGACCCTATAGGTCAATAGTAGCTAGGGAGCTGACAGATGAACAATTCTCAAAATATATTTGTATCTCATCTACAATAAACTATTGAGTTATTTCAGTTACCTCTGGGTGAACTTCTATTTTTTAAAGGTAAGCTTAATTATTTGTCCTTCATTCACTAAGTCAATTACATAATCTTTGGCATTCCCTCTTTAGGGTGTTTGCAGGACTCTCCTTGATTGGTCTTATCCTATGGCTGGCTCTAGACACAGCTCAAAGGCCAGAGCAGCTGATGTCCTTCGCAGGAATCTGCATGTTCATCATCATACTCTTTGCCTGCTCCAAACACCACAGTGCAGTGAGTTTTGGGTATGCAGGTTGGGCATAGTAATACATAGCTAAGGGTCATATACTAATTGCAAAGCACATGCACACAGTATTAATTACAAAGTGGGTGGTTTTAAAGAACAGGGATTTTCTTTCCTCACAGTTTTGGAGGGTAGAAGTCCAATCAGCGCATTGTCTCTAGAGACAGTTTCCTCTTTGTTGGTGTCCCTGGGCATTCTTTGATGTGTGGGTGGTCTCTCACCCCTGCATGTTTCTCTGTATCTATTCTACACTTTTTATAAGACACAATTCAGAAGAGATGAGATTTAGGACCCACTCCACTCCTCGGAAGGAAGGTTGGTCAATCTTACTTCTGTAGTGATACTACGTAGGCAGTAAATCTTTACGGAAGTAGATTGTCCAGTCTTCTTTCCATGGACTGGCTGGTGGGTTTGAACTGCCAACCTTCCAGTTAGCAGTCAAATGCCTTAGACCCTACACCACCAGAGCTCCCTGTGTATTGTGTATAGTAATGTTAAAATATTGGTTTATGAAAATTTTATTTGTATGTATATATATTTGTATAATTGTTATCCAACCTCTAGACATATTTTTTAAAAATCATATGGACATACTTGGCTTTTTACATATTGCTGCCCTATTCCCCTTTGCTATGTTCCCTGTTCCTTACTCCATTTTGCCTCAGATTTACTGTTAACATCTTACATTTGTTCTAACCAGAGTATACGTGAACAGATAATGAAGTACCCAAATTTAAAATCCCAATCAGGTAATAGGCATGTAGGGTTTAGAACTAACATTGGAATAATTTTCTTATTAATCTCAGGTGTCCTGGAGGACAGTGCTTTGGGGCCTGGGTCTTCAATTTGTCTTTGGAATCTTGGTCATCAGAACTGATCCTGGATTTATTGCATTCCAGTGGCTGGGAAACCAGGTTCAGGTATGAGAGAGTCAATGTGAGGGCTCTGCTCTTTTAGAACCATAGGGAAAGAAGTTTGTGGGACAGCATTAGGAGTTGGAGCTGTCTTGTTAATGATGCTGGTGGGAAAGGAGTATACTGGGGTATAACTAAAAATATGAGTAAAGAGAATTGAGCTACTAAGTCCTGCCTCCATACTATCAAATGGAGGTCAACCTCAATAGCACTAGTAGGCCCTAATCATGAATGAAGCTGATCTAGTTTTCTCCAATATCCTTTCCTGGATTCAATCTTGTTCTCTTTCTTTCCCTCAGATATTCCTGAACTACACCGTGGCTGGATCCAGTTTTGTCTTTGGGGATACGCTTGTCAAGGATGTCTTTGCTTTTCAGGTTATATCTGCTTTATGAACAGGAATAAGGGTCAGTGAGGGGTATAGCAGAGGATGAATAAGTGCATTTAAGAGATCAGCCATCCTCTATACTGAATTGGCCAGAAGGAGATCATTTAGTCCCATCAGTAGAGGAAACAGCATCAATCACTTACCCTTTGATCATTACCATCCTGAACTTGGATGAAATATGGATCAGGCTAAGAAGGCTCACTTCTTGGAAGGAAGGTTGGGCAATCTACTTCCGTAGTGATACTGCCTCGGAAACCCAAGGAAGGGTCGCTATGAGTCATGTCTGACTCCACGGCACATAACAACAACAACAACAAGGCTCAGTTAAGATCTCTTTGTGGCTTAGTATGGATGCAATAATAGATTCCCAGTGCATTTTAAATTTATTCCTAGACTAGTTTGCATTTAGGAGCTCTGGTAGCATAGTGCCTAAGGCACTTGACTGCTAACCAGAAGGCTGGCGGTTCAAACCCACCAGCCACTCCTTGGAAGGAAGGTTGGGCATTTCTACTTCCATAGTGATACTGCCTCGGAAACCCAAGGAGGGGTCACTATGAGTCGGGGCCAACTCAATGGCAAATAACAACAACAGTTTGCATTTAAATATCCACTCAGTATCTCCACTGCTCAGATGCTTTGGGGATAATAGGAACTTAATTTAGAGGCTTGACACACAGAGTTCACTTAAGGTATACATGAACACATGTGATATAATGTCTTATCAGCTTACTTCTCCCTACAGGCCTTACCAATTATTCTTTTCTTTGGATGTGTGATGTCCATGCTCTACTATCTGGGCCTTGTGCAGTGGGTAGTTCAGAAGGTGAGTTATTCTCCTGTACCAGTCAGGAGATGAGCCTTCAAATTGTGATCTGTCAAGAGGCACAAACATGATAATTCCTTTGGAAAATGCTCATATATAGGATTTGCAGAAAGTAAGAACCTTGTGGAAAGATAAATTCTTCCAAGCACACCTGCTATCAAATGGTCAGGCCTAGGCCCTAGATCAAAGGCAATCCCACAGAATGTGGAAATTATAGAACAATATCATTAATATCACACGCAAGTAAGATCTTACTGAAGATAATTCAAAAATGGTTGCAGCAGTATATTGACAGAGAACTTCCAGAAGTGCAAGCCGGATTCAGAAGAGGACGTGGAACAAGGGATATCATAGCTGCTGTCAGATGGATCTTGGCTCAAGGCAAAGAATACCAGAAAGATGTTTACTTGTGTTTTATTGACTATGCAAAGGCATTTGATTGTGTGGATCATGACAAATTATGGATAACATTGAGAAGAATGGGAATTCCCGAGCACTTGATTGTACCCATGAGAAATCTGTACCTTGACCAGGAGGCTGTCGTTCGAACAGAACAAGGGGACACTACATGGTTTAAAATCAAGAAGGGAGTGCGTCAGGGTTGTATTCTTTCTCCACACTTATTCAATCTATATGCTGAGCAAATAATCTGAGAAGCTGGACTATATGAAGAAAAATGTGGTATCAGGATTGGAGGAAGAATCATTAACAACCTGAGATATGCAGACGATACAACTTTGCTTGCTGAAAGTGAGGATGACTTAAGGCACCTACTGATGAAGGTTGAAGAATACAGTCTGCAGTATGGATTACATCTCAACATAAAGAAAACAAAAATCCTCACAACTGGACCAATGAGCAGCATCACAATAAATGGAGAGAAGATTTGAGGTTGTCAAGGAATTCACATTGCTTGGTTTTACAATCGATGCCAACGGAAGCAGCAGTCAGGACATTAGACGACGTGTAGCATTGGGAAAGTCAACTGCGAAGGAACTGTTTCAAGTGCTGAGGAGCAAGGATATCTCCCTGAGGACTAAGGTGTGCCTGACACAAGCCATGATATTTCTGATCACCTCGTATGCATGTGAGAGCTGGACAATGAATAAGGAAGACCGAAGAAGAGTTGACGCTTTTGTGTTGTGGTGCTGGCGAAGAATGCTGAAAGTACCATGGACTGCTAAAAGAACTAAGAGATCTGTCCTGGAGGAAGTGCAGCCAGAATGCTCCTTGGAAGCAAGAATGGCCAGACTTCGTCTCACCTATTTTGGTCATGTTGTCAGAAGGGACCATTCCCTAGAGAAGGATGTCATGCTTGGTAGAGTGGAGGGTCAACGAAAGAGGGGGAGGCCTTCAAGGAGATGGATTGATACGGTGGCTGCGATGATGGGCTCAAGTATAGCAGGGATTGTGGGGCTGGCGCGGGATCGGGCAGTGTTTCGTTCTGCTGTGCATGGGGTCACTATGAGTCGGAAATGACTCGCCGGCACATAACAACAACAACAACATCCTTTCATACTTAATTCTAGTTTATTTGTTCTAAAAGCCAAGAGTCCTGAGTTCTGGCCCAGACTCTGTTTGTAAGCCAAGCCTTTTTGGCCTTGGGCTTGTCAGCATACTTCTCTAAGCCTCAGTTTTCTTATCAGTAGAATGGAGAGGGAGGGTTTTGTTGTACACTACTTTATTAAGATTCCTGCAAATGCTAATGGCTTGGGTCTCTGTATCCCTTTAGATTGCCTGGTGTTTGCAAATCACCATGGGCACCACTGCCACTGAGACCTTGGCTGTGGCAGGAAACATCTTTGTGGGCATGGTAAGTACCCAGAAGCCTTCTGGTTTTCTTTTCTCTGTGAAACTGAGAACTCTGCAGAAAATAGGTTGAGAAAAATATGCTTTCCTTCTGAAAAGTCAAATAAATGAAAACTGTGGGCAGCCAATGGCTGATGGGGAAAAAAAAAAAAAAAAAACACCTCATAAGCTCAAAGGGAATTCAGTTCATTGTTTTTACTATTAATATCTGATAATATTTATCTGGGCATGGCATTCTTAATCTGGACATCCTTAGCCACAGATCCAACTTCTTACACAGGAATTATCTCATATCTCATCCCCTTCAGTGGCTAGGAAGCATGCGTGATCTATAATCTAGTTTCTTCCTGTGAGTCCCTGTGGCCCTTGTTTTTCAGGGTGTCTAAGGAGAAAACAGCTTGCCTTGCCCATGGCTAACACCCAAGTTCTTCCACATGATACTTGTTTGGTACATTTGTCTGTATAGTGTAGGTGCTCGATATATGCTATTGACCAATCAGCTCAATGTTAAGAACCACAGCTTGTCAAATTGACAAGGAGTTAGTATTGAACTCTTTTTCACCCAAGGCCCAGAAGTGTTTCTGCAATGTTCTCAGAGTACCTCTGGATACTTCTACCTTAGCAATCACCTCACATTTTCCTAAAATTATCCATAACTGGTTTCCTTTTTTAGAATCTAAGCTCCTCAACGGCACATAACAACAACAACAACAACAAGCTCCTCAAAGTAGGATCTTTGCCTTATTCGTATTAATATCCTTACATCTAGTTCAGCATTAGGCAAATAGTTGACAATTATTAAATGGTAAATAATATTATCTTAGGTCAACAATCAGAAGGAAGACTTGGCAATCTACTTCCATAGAGATACCGCCTCGGAAACCCAAGCAGGGGTTGCTATGAGTCGGATCCGACTCCACGGCAGTTGAGTTTGGATTTTTTTTCTTTTTAGATCAATACTAATATAGTTTACATAATTGTCCCTTCATAGTGTCGTAACATCTTCACAAACATTATTTTGATTCTTTCATCAAAAGTGGGGTTATAGGACCTACTTGCAATTCATTTAATGAATACTCGTTAAGCATCTAATACGTACTCAGTAAATGCACTGTACTCCATAAGTTCATTCAGAAAATACGTGGCTTTAGACCTTGAAAGTGTTCAAAAGAAATACACCATTTCTTTTCTATAATATTTTTAACAATGTTTTATTGTATTTTCAGCAGAAGTGTAAATAGCAAAACAGATTCCACTTCAACAGTTTCTACATATATTGTTCAGTGACCTTGGTTACATTCTTCACATTGTATCAATGTTCTCATTATGTCCATTCTAGTTGTTCTGTTCCCATCAGCCTAGTCTTACATCCCCTAACCTTCTCAGCTGTGCTTTAGAGTATATGTTGATCATTTGGTGTCACATAGATGCTTTTTTGAAAGAGCACACTATTCAAGAGTGATGTTCAATATTTATGAGCTAACCTGCTATTTAGCTAAAGGGTGATTTGAAAGGATGGTTTCAGCTGAAGGCTTAACAAATATCTCAGGTGGGATTTCTCCTCTCTCAGTGAGTCCAGTAAGTATGGATTTTGAGAATTTGAAATTGTGTTCTACATTTTCTCCCTTTCTATCGGGATCCATCTATTGTGGTCCTGGTCAGACACATGGTAAGGGTAGCCAAGCACCATCCAGTTTCAATGTAGATGAGGCCATGCTTCATACAGATAATTAGTCCTGTAGCCCACTTCCTTCTCTATTTCTTAAATTCAAGTAGATAAGCCAAACATGTATGAAAACAAGTGATAGCTAGCCAGAATACGATTAGATGCCAGAGGGAATGAGGCAAAACTGGGATGGCCTGAGAGCAGAGCTCAGTGCTCAGTGCTGACTTTATTCTCACTAGAACAAAGCTCATGGTGGAGGAGTGTGTGCCTAATGTACTCAGTCCCAGGGACTGGAGTGAGCACTCTGGGGTGGAAGGCATACCGTCCTGGAATTTGATTGTTTTTTCCTTGTTTATAGACAGAGGCACCTCTGCTCATTCGTCCATACCTTGGAGACATGACACTCTCTGAAATCCATGCAGTGATGACTGGAGGGTTTGCCACCATTTCAGGCACTGTATTGGGAGCCTACATCTCCTTTGGGGTAGATACTGTGTGCTTGATCACTCCTGAGTGAGGCTGAGTTCTGTGTTCTGCAGAGGCACTAACCTCTATGTCTGGTCTTACAGATCAGCCCAGCATCCTTGATTTCTGCCTCTGTGATGGCTGCCCCTTGTGCTCTTGCCTTGTCAAAGCTGATATATCCAGAAGTGGAAGAGTCTAAGTTTAAGAATGGGAAGGGGGTAAAGCTTCCCCGTGGGTAAGTCCAATGAAGCATATAATTTAGGAGATGATGAAGTCTGGTGCACAGTCAAGTGGTGTTGAGACGGCAGAGGTTTGAGATCTCCTTGAGTGGGAATATCATGATTCCATATCCTCTCTTGCCATCTCTGCCCCTAGCTACTCACCTTAACTTTCTCTTGTTTGTTTGTTTTTTAACCCTACCACCTACTGCTAATTTTTGCATGCCTGTACTCTCTGTCCTTGTTCTCAGTGCAATTTCATGGCAATTATATGTGATACTACTGCTTTAAGATTATGTCCACTCATGGGGTTACTAAGGAACTCCCACTGTCGTTCAAACTGGCCTTGAACCTTCCTAATAGAGAGTGAGATTTCTCTTCTCCGAAGGCTGAGACTACTCTAGACACCACAATTTTCCCCTCATGCCCATTAACCACAGGAAGGAGAGAAATATCCTGGAAGCTGCCAGCAATGGAGCCACAGATGCCATAGGCCTTGCTGCTAATGTAGCAGCCAACCTGATCACCTTTTTGGCTGTGTTGGCCTTCATCAATGCTGCCCTCGCCTGGCTAGGGGAATTGGTGGAGATACAGGGGCTCAGTTTCCAGGTAAAAAATCACATTTGTTGGGATGTCCCCCTGGAATGTAGATAAATAGTCCTTGAGCTATGCATGCCATTCTGACCCAAAGTAAGCTAAGAGAAAGCATAAATTGGAAAAAGGTGGAAGGGATAGAGTCAAGATTTAAGAAAGCCCTTGACTTCTGACTGTTATTTGTTCTTTCTTTTCCTGGAGTCTCTCTTTCTTTCCTTTAGGTCATCTGCTCCTATATTCTAAGGCCCATGGTCTTCATGATGGGTGTAGAGTGGGCAGAATGTCCAATAGTGGCTGAGCTGGTGGGGATCAAGTTCTTCATAAATGAGTTTGTGGCCTATCAGCATCTGTCTCAATACAAACATAAACGTCTCTCTGGAGTGGAGGAGTGGATTGGTGGTGAGAAACAGTGGATTTCAGTAAGTGGCAATCCAGAAAACCGTACAAAGTGTGAGGCTCTGTGCAGAAAGTGCTACACAAAAGTTTGTTGCAGACCCACAGATCCCTTTCCAGGGCCCCAGACCTAAACATAAAGTAAGTATAAAATATGTTTAGTAGCCTCTCTCTCAAGTATCTGAGCTACCCTGAGGTCTATGTGGTATTTTTCCCCAACCTCTGACCCAACATAATTATCAGGGTCTTTACCACAGGGGCAGTTCACAAGAACACTATTTTTTGATGGTCTAAAGTCCCCTTCTTCATTACAGATCTGTTAGTTCTTTTAGCAGTCCATGGTACTTCATCATTCTTCGCCAACACCACAACTCAAAAGCATCAACTCTTCTTCTGTCTTCCTTAGTCATTGTCCAGCTCTCACATGCATACGAGGCAATTGGAAATATCATGGCCTGTGTCAGGCGCACCTTAGTCCTCAGGGAGACATCCTTGTTCCTCAGCACTTGATACAGTTCCTTTGCAGCCAACCTGCCCAGTGCTACACGTGGTCTAATGTCCTGACTGCTGCTTCCAGTGGAGTCGATTGTAGAACCAAGCAACGTGAATTCTTTGACAACCTCAATCTTTTCTCCTTTTATCATGATGCTGCTTATTGGTCCAGTTGTGAGGATTTTTGTTTTCTTCATATTGAAATGTAATCCATACTGCAGACTGTGTTCTTCAATCTTCATCAGTAAGTGCCTCAAGTCATTCTCACTTTCAGCAAGCAAAGTTGTATCATCTGCATATCTCACGTTGTTAATGATGCTTCCTCCAATCCTGATGCCACGTTTTTCTTCATATAGTCCAGCTTCTCGGATTATTTGCTCAGCATATAGATTGAATAAGTGTGGAGAAAGAATACAACCCTGACGCACTCCCTTCTCTTTGCCTTACCATGCATGTCCCCTTGTTCTGTTCGAACAACAGCCTCCTGGTCAAGGTACAGATTCCTCATGAGTACAATCAAGTGCTCGGGAATTCCCATTCTTCTCAATGTTATCCATAATTTGTCATGATCCACACAATCAAATGCCTTTGCATAGTCAATAAAACACAAGTAAACATCTTTCTGGTATTCTTTGCCTTGAGCCAAGATCCATCTGACAGCAGCTATGATATCCCTTGTTCCACATCCTCTTCTGAATCCAGCTTGAACCTCTGGAAGTTCTCTGTCAATATACTGTTGCAACCGTTTTTGAATTATCTTCAGTAAGATCTTACTTGCGTGTGATATTAATGATATTGTTCTATAATTTCCACATTCTGTGGGATCACCTTTCTTTGGAATGGGTACAAATATAGATCTCTTCCAGTCAGTTGGCCAGGTAGCTGTCTTCCAAATCTCATGGCATAACCGAGTGAGTGCCTCCAATGGGGCATCCGTTTGTTGAAATATTTCAGTGGGTATTCCGTCAATTCCCAGAACCTTGTTCTTAGCCAATTCCTTCACTGCAGCTTTGACTTCCTCCTTCAGTACCATTGGTTCTAGATCAATACCATCTCCTGAAATGGATGAAGATCAACCAGTTCTTTTTGGTACAGTGACTCTGTGTATTCCTTCCATCTTCTTTTGATGTTTTCTGCATCGTTCAATGTTTTGCCCTTAGAATCTTTCAATATTGTAACTTGAGGCTTAAATTTTTTCCTCAATTCCTTCAGCTTGAGAAATGCCAAGTGTGCTCTTCCCTTTTGGTTTTCTAACTTCAGGTATTTGCACATTTCATTGTAGTAATTGGTTTTGTCTTCTTGAGCTGCTCCTTGAAATCTTCTGTTCAGCTCTCTTATCGTGGCATTTCTTCCATTGGCTTTAACTTCTCTCCGCTCAAGGGGAAGTTTCAGAGTCTCTTCTGTCATCCATTTTGGTCTTCTCTTCCTTTCTCATCTTTTTAGTGACCTCTTGCTTTCCTCATGGATAATATTCTTGATATCCTCCCACAATTCTGGTTTTTGGTCGTTGGTGTTCAATGCATCAAATCTATTCTTTAAATGGTCTCTAAATTCAGGAGGGATATATTCTAGATCATGTTTTGGCTCTCATGGACTTGTTTTAATTGTCTTTAACTTCAAGTTGAACTTGTATATGAGCAATTAATGGTCTGTTCCACAATCAGCTCCTGGCCTGGTTTTGGCTGAAGATATTGAGCCTTGTCCATTGTCTCTTGCCACAGATGTAGTCAATCTGATTCCTGTGTGTTACATCTGGTGAAGTCCACGTGTAGAGCCACCATTTGTGTTGTTGAAAAAAGGTGTTTGCAATGAACGAGTCGTTGGTCTTACAAAATTCTACTATGCAAGTTCCTGCATTATTTCTGTCACCAAGGCAAAATTTTCCAACTACCAGTGATTCTTCCTTGGTTCCACCTTTTGCATTCCAGTCACCGGTGATAATTAACACATCCTGATTGCATGTTCAGTCAATATCAGACTGCAGAAGTTGATAAAAATCTTCAATTTCCTCATCTTTGGCTTTGGTGGTTGGTGCATAAATTTGAATAATAGTCGTATTAATGGGTCTTCCTTGTAGGCGTATGGATATTATCCTATCACTGACAGCATTGTACTTCAGGACAAATCTTGAAACATCCTTTGTGATGATGAATGCCATGCCATTCCTCTTCAAACTGTCATTCCTGGCATAGTAGATCATATGGTTGTCTGATTCAAAATGGCCAAAACCAGTCCATTTCACCTCACTAATGCCTAGGATATCAATCTTTATGCGTTCCATTTCATTTTTGACAACTTCCAATTTTCCTAGATTCATACTTCGTACATTCCGTGTTCCGATTATTAATGGATATTTGCCGTTCTTTCTCCTCAGTTTGAGTGGTGCCACGTCAGCAAATGGAGGTCTCGAAAGCCTTACCTTATCCACGAGTAAGGCTGATTTTACTCTGATAATGCCTCTCTTGTCCAGTCCTACTTTGAGAGCTTTCTAAGCTAAGTGACTCATCTTCCTCCTCTGTATTGGACAATATTTCTGGACTATTCATGAAGTTGCGCAGTAATGTATCAGACAATGTTTCTCTGCTATTCATAAGGTTTTCTATGGCCAATTCTTTGAGAAGTGGATGGCCTCTTCCTTCTTCCTAGTCTGTCCCAGTCTGCAAGCCGAGCTGATACCTGTGCACCATGTGTACCCCACTGAGTTTGAAACACCAGTGTCAAAGCCTCAAGACTCACAGCAATACGTCACCACAGTAGGACAAACCGACAGACAAGTTTGTCTCCCTTAGCTGTTGGAAACCTCTCCAACCACCCTTACCTGGATCCCTGCAGCTGACTCCTCGATCTGTTCCGGTCCCCTTTGCCTTTTCTGTCCTCTCCCTGCTTTCCCACCTTGTTGCTTGTGAGGCATGATCTGGGTTCCCTCTCCTCACCTGGATCCCTAAAAGAACTAACAGATCTGTACTGCAGGAAGTGCAGCCAAGATGCTCCTTGGAAGCGAGGATGGTCAGACTTCGTCTCAACTACTTTGGTCATGTTGTCAGAGGGGACCATTCCCTGGGGTAGGATGTCATGCTTGGTAAGGTGGAGAGTCAACAAAAGAGGGGAAGGCTTTCCATGAGATGGTTTGACCCAGTGGCTGTGAAAATGGGCTCAAGAATAGCAAGGATAATGGAGCTGGCGTGGGATTGGGTGGTGTTTTGTTCTGCTGTGCATGGGGTCACTATGAGTTGGAAATGACTCCACGGCACCTAACAACAACAACTTCACTTACAGAGTCAGTGGGTGGTATAAACAGTGAAGTGCTCCACTAATAACTGAAAGGTTGGAATGTGCACCTACCCAGAGATGCCTTGGAGGAAAGGCCTGGCAATCTGCTTCTGAAAGGTCACAGCCTTGAAAACCCCCATGGAGCACAGTTCTACTCTGCAACATATGGGGTCACCATGAGTCAAGATCAACTGGGCAGAAAGTTGTTTATTTGCTTGTTTCTTAACTTATAAGTTTAATTTACTGTATACTGGTCTCTCTTGTTCTCTTTTTCACTAGACACATTCCTAGACCTTTTCCTTATTCTTATGCTTCAATAAAAACAGCATTGGGCAAAGAGGCCCTGGTGATTTCCATATCATTATTCCTGTAATAATTCAGGGAACAGCTATTTTCTGAGCATCCCTTGCACATTACTTAGTATGGAAAAGATTGGGGGATATATGTACTCTGAAACTTCTAGCATGATTATAATACTGCACACATTGTTGTTGTTGTTATGTGCTGATAGGACTGAGTTCATTTCTTTCTTTCTTTTTGTTTTTTGTTTTTTGTTTTTCCTAGGAGAGAGCAGAAGTCATTGCAACATTTTCAATCTGTGGATTTTCCAATCTTAGTTCCATGGGAATCACACTGGGAGGCTTGAGTAAGTTAGTTCATTTTCTCAGCTCCCCAGTACTATTTACAATAGCTAAAAGATGGAAACAACCTATGTGTCCATCAACTGAGTAGTAGATAATCAAACTATGATAATCAAACATACACACAATGGAATGCTACGCAACACTAAAGAATAATGTAGAACTGCAAAACACCGCATAACGTGGATGAACTTGGAAGACATTATGCTGAGTGAAATAAGTCAATCACAAAAGGACAAATATTGTATTGTACCAGATCCCAGCTTCTGTAGTGGACAGTCCTGCTGTTTCTGTACAAGTTGAGCCCAGAGAGAGAAACAGATGTGAAATAGGCCCTCTCAGACAGTAGCTAACTAGGAGTCAAGACAATCATTCTATCTTGCTATGTGTGGAGCCCAGACTGAGTTTATAATCTCAACTACTGACATGTTTTGTCTTTGGGTTGGGCTCAAATGATGAATTTTATTTTTATTTTCCCTGTATGGGAGGAAGTGTTATAATTATATTACTTCTATTTTGCTATTAAATTGTAAGTAAATTTTTAATTTGGCTGGAAAAAAAATAATAAATTGTAAGTAAATGTATTTTGTTTTTTTTTTATTCAGTAGTGAGGTGCTTTCTGAAATTTGGTTGCAAGCTAGTTGTCTTCACAGAAGCAGGAGCTGTCCAAGCAATCGAAAAACAGAAGCAGCAAACATAAATGGTAGTTAGATAATTAGAGTGAGTAATGTGAAATGTTGGATTAGAAGCTGCAAGCCACCAGGTGTGGGAGGTGTGAATATTTTAAGCAAGCTAGACATATTGAGGCTGCTGAAGATATTTCTGAATGTGGGTGGTGGCTGGAGAAAACAGTATGAGGACGGTGGAATTGTCCTTGAGGGCAGGGACAAGGGGAAATGACTAGCAGATTGTAAGAGTTTGGAAGATCCAAGTTAGAACTGGATCATGGAAGGAATGGAGTATGAGAAGAAATATAGCTCAGCGGTCTATTTTTCAGGGCAATCTTTCTGGTGTATTTGGTTTCTGAGTGAACAATTTAAAGGCAAAATCATTTCCTTTCCATTTTTTTCCCTTCTGCTAAATAGTTTATCATTCTAATATTGCCCAATTATTGTCTGATTATGAGACTGTCATCTAGAAATGGGATATACATTGCATGGCTAAGCTTAGGTGAATGCTGCCTTCCTTATTCTTCTGCCACAAAATAATCCACCTAAATCTAATCTAGTCTTAAGAACACTGTTGACCACCCAGGTATTTGCACCTGTCTGGGGCAACCCAGAAATTGCTTGATCCAGATACTTCTTAAGAATATTCACAGATGGTGATTCCTTCAAAAGTTGGATTTAGAAATACCATTTGACCTGGCCATTCCATTACTACGTATATATCCTAAAGAAGGGAGAGCCATGACAAGAACAGACATATACACACCTATGTTCATCACAGCACTATTTACAATAGCTAAAAGATGGAAACAACCTAGGTGTCCATCAACTGAAGAGTGGATAATCAAACTATGGTACATACACACAATGGAATGCTATGCAACACTAAAGAATAATGTAGAATCTGCAAAACACCGCATAATGTGGATGAACTTGGAAGACATTATGCTGAGTGAAATAAGTCAATCACAAAAGGACAAATATTGTATTAGTCCATAATTGTAAAAGTCAAGGAAAGGTTTATCTATAGAAGGAAATTTTCTTTGTTGGTTACCAGGGGTGGGAGGGGAGGGGAGGGAACACTGTTAGATAGATAGAGATAAATATTGATTTGGGTGAAGAGAAGGGCAATGTACCAAACGTGAGTGATCAATATGGTGGCATTGAGAAAGACAAAGACATAGAGAGGTACATGGGAGGTACAGACAACAAAGATGAGCCCTTTTGCACATACAGTACTGCGTTGTCAGTGAAGGCAAACATGAGTATATGGGTGGATAGATGGGTAGACTGGCTGAACTAGTAGGTATGTCTATGAAGCAGGGAGTGTACCCAAGAACATGTATAAGGCTGGCAGACAATGGTGCTCTAAATTTATGTGTATGATCTGAATTCCCAGGTGTATAGTAGAGCTGAAAAGGGGCAAGGTTGTAGTCACTGCTTGGTCACAGCCAGCAACCCAGAGGGACCGAGTAATTGAACCTGTAGGCTCGGGACCATAGTTGCAAGGGACATCAAGTTCAATTGGCATAACATACCACACCAAACATTGTTCCACCTCCTACTTTGGAGAGTAGCAACTGGGATCTTAAAAGCTGGCAAGCTGCCATCTAGATGTAACAATGGGTCTCTCCTCATCCAGAGCAAAGAAGAATGAAGAAAACCAAAAATTCATGGAAACAATTAGTCCTAGTGACTAGTATACCATCCGATCTGCAGCCTATACGACTGTGAGACCAGAAGAACTAGATGGTGCCTGGCTATCACTGTCATCCACTTGGAAGTGGATCTATGTAGGAGATACTTGATAGAGAAGGAGAACAATGTGGAACAAAACTCAAAATCATTTGGAGGGAAAAAAGGAGGGGGGACCAGGTTTGCTGGTCCAATAGAGCCTGGTGGAACCACTGAAACTATGGCCCCTAGCTGCCCTTCAGGTCTGGAATTGAACCCACACC